TGCATCATAAATGAATAAATGTTTCTGGTCAAAATCAGGTTGTTTTTTTCTTACATACTATATATAATTGCACATCCTCGATTCCTTTCCTCGACTCCTCCCACAGAGATTCCTAGGAGGAGGCAAGGAGGGGATGCGAGGAAAGAGGAGTCAAGGCAACAGGTTTTCCACAAAATGAGACACCGTCACCTCTAGTGGCACAGCTGCATTAGCGAAATATATTAGTGCTGGATATAATATGCACATGTTTGCATGTTGTGTATTCCAGCTGTGTGTAACACATCTTTTATGTCCTGGGTGGAGGACACAACGAGGACAAACCATCCTCGCTCAGCTCCTCCAGCAGCCTCCTCGATCCTCCATATGCATGAGACACCTTTTGTAGATCAATTCCTGGGATCGAGGAGTCTACAGCGTGGCAGTGTGGCTACTGGATCACAGCCTTAGCTTTGCTTCACTGTGCCTGAGCTCTACTTGGTTACATGTTTACACCCAGAACAGCAAATCAACCACATGCATGGATAGGAAACACGAGTCCTTCTTCCTCCTCACCTGTGTGATGAGGCTCTTCAGTTCCGTCCTCTCCACCTCCCATGATGCCTTGGCCTTTGCGAACTGCTGCGTGAGTTCCTGGGAGCCTTGCCTCTCCTGTCGCAGCTCCCCGCTCAGGTCCTGCAGCGCCACCTTCAGGTCGGCCAGAGTGCTGCTCACGGCGCTGGACTGCAGGTGAACACAGGTGCTCCACATTAGAGTGTGTGTGTGGTTGTGTTCGTGCTTGTGTGACCGTGTGTGTCAGCCTCCCACCTTTATTCTCGGACTGAGCGGCTGCTCGTCTGCAGAGCTCCTCTTGTCAGTCTGGTGGGTCGGACTGGGCAGGTTCTCCTCCTCCAGCAGCAGGTAGAGATCCTTCAGGCTGTTCATCTGAGGAACCAATCACAGGGCAGCATCCCCTGTTATGTGCTTTTTAATAATACAGGTACATTCATCTACAATAGTTTGGAAGTCACTGCCCCCTAACTTTTGTGTTTCCTGTATGAAGCTTTGGCTGATTAACCCTTTGAACTCCATTTTGTGTTCCTGTCACATTCTTACTCACTGTGGGTTCATTTTTCATTACAACATAAAATCCTGCACCTCTATGGAAACAGAACAACCATGACTAGAAGTAGAGAGATCTCAGGAATGTCTTCTGTGCAGTAGGACAAAGCTATGACGCCATAAATCATATAAAAGTTTCTGTGCAATATGACAGTTATAATGCCGTAAATCTTTGGTTATTTATTTTACAAAAACTGAACAACTTAAACATCACACGTACAATATTTTTTCCACCAACAGCTGTTACCAACACTGGAAATAAAAGCTGACTCTACACACTACAGATATTGTATTATCTACGTTTAATATTTCTTTCCATATTATGTCCTGTCTGCTCCGTGTAAACAAAACCTGTAGTTCAGCTAAAATCTTCCTGAATATTTCTTATACGACTGTTGATCACAGTTGAGTTACTAGTGGCTTCATGGTTTCGCAGAGAAGTGCAGAATTATTAGATTTTTACAGAATCTGCTTGATGCAAACACTTTTGTTTTGGTGATGCGGCGTCTAGAATAACATGATTTTGATGAAATATCCTGATTTTAAGCTTAGCAGATGATTAGTTCAAGGATCATTGGAGTGTTGGAAATCCAAGGATTTTTTCTGTTATTACATTTCCTGCTAAGAAATTGTGTAACTTTGACAATTTTTAAAAAGATAACATGTCTTTCACACTCGCAAAAGGGTTCAGAGTGTTAAAAACCTGACATCACATATTCCAACACAAATGAAGACGACCTTTGAGGCTTGGAAATCATTACTTAAGCCAAAAACAGATTATTGATCCCTGTAGCCTCATTGCAAGATAATCGAATCAATGCTTCTGGTCAAAAGTCGGGCGTACACCGACAGCACGGATGCCCCTCGTACCTCCAGGACGTCCTTCCACTCGGTGTCCTTCTTGCAGCCGAGCCTCCACTGTTTGAGGAAGCAGCGCAGCTTGAGGCTGAGCAGCAGGAGAGCCTGTTTGAGGTGCTGCGACTCCTGCACCAGCAGAGTCCTCTCCTGGCTCCACAGCTTCTGCTGGAGCCGAGCCTGCAGGCCGAAACTCTGCAGCTGGAAGTCTCGCCGGAGAAGAGCCTTGTGGTGCTCCTCCTGGAGCTGAGAGAACCAGATGGACAGGACGACCCCAGAAGAATTAATACAAAAACTACCCAAGTCCTTAAATTCTTTGTTTCTAACGTGAAGAAATCAGTCAAATGGGAGTGTTTTTCTTCTTAAATATCCACGTTTGAGTTTGTAGAATGCAAGAAATTGAAGAAACGAGTTACCAAGAGTCCATTCATTCTCCAACAAATGATAAATATTGTTTAAATCAGACAGTCCTGTTTGCTGTTTGTCAAACTTTTAGCTTCCAAACATCTGAAATATTCTGTGTCTGCAGTCTGCAAGTGGTTCGGCTCTGAAGTATGTTTAAATTCAATATGGATCCACATTATTAAAAATGTCTATAGTGGCACAACTGATTTACCAAAAGGACAAAAAGACTTCTAAAATTACATTTAGGACGTAGACAGAGTTATTTAATATTATTCAAGCCCTTTAACGGCATCATTTTTAAAGTACATTTAACTCACTGACATCAAATATATCACATTAACTTTGACTACAAACCCTTCCTCTGTACATTTTTGTCTCCGGTCTTGTTTCGGTGCATCTGCGAGGTTAGTTTTTTTTAGTTTATTCTGCAAACCGACCTGTGTGAGTTTGACAGCAGCTTCTCTCTGAGCCTCCTCGTCTTTCTCCAGCTCCTCCTGAGCGGCTGCTTCGGACAGCCTGAGCTCGAGGTCATTGGACTGGACGGTCTGGAGGAAGGAAGGAGAGGAAAAGGATGAGAAAAATGAGGAAGGAGCGGGATGGAGAGAAAGGAGGAAATAAGGGTTGTTTGAGAGGAATGGAAACGTTTGTAGGTAGTTGCGGGAGGAGAGAGGAGCTAAGTGTGAGAGGCACATAACATGGCAGTTTTGTGCTACAACACCCTTTAAATCACACTTCAGCTGTGGCACGCCACTGCAAGTCCACACACTTCATCTCATGCACTCCCTCACGCCTCATTTGGCTGCTGAGTGAGTGCGACCCATCGACCCGCCACTGTACCACTAATGTCCTCTTTCACCCTCCGCTGGGCCCAGCCTCTGCCCTCCATCAACCTCCAGCAGAAACCACCGCCCGGCCGCTCACAGCCTCCACTGTCATCCAGAAAGAAACTACTCTGACCTCTGGTCCAAAAATGACTTCACTGCAGTGGAAAGGCAGCAAAATGTGCAGCAACTTCAGAATCTGAGATGTAACGGATTCTGCTCAGGAAACTTCAACAACAAAACAGGAGTTTAAGAGGTCAGCTGTGTTCTGAGAGGATGCAAAAAGGTGCATTCTGTGTATTTAAGACCCTTTTTTTGCATTTCCAATCTCATGTCTGGGTAACAACTGAGAATCTAAACTCACATGATTATGAGTTTCTGGAACACTAGAACAGCCAACATCACCTCTGAAGCTCATTAATTAACATGCACCTTGCTTAACCAGTAGACAAACCATCATATAAAACAACTTACAGTTTCTATTAAAAAGTATTCACCCCTTCTTTGGAGGTTTTCCCCTGTTCTTGCTTTTTAACATTGAATCATGGTCATTTAATTTGGCTTTTTGGACAAGAAATTACAAAAAAAGACTCATGTCCGAGTGAAAACAGATTTCAACCAAATAATGTAAAAAAAAAAAAGTGATCGCAAAAGTGTTCACCTCAATGCAACACAGGTGCAGTTAACTGGTTCTTGATGTCATACAGTTGGTGAATTGGAGATCATCTGAGTGCAGTGAATGTGTAAAGACGCCTGAAGGTCTGGTTACTGGTGGATAGAACGACACCATGACGACAAACGGACACTCTTAGCAACTCTGAAATGGTTTTTGAGAAACACAAGTTAGAAGATGGACACAAGAGAATTCTAGTTGTTTAAATTTAGCGTTAATAAATAGAAGGAATGTGGCAGATGAGCAGGTCGTCCTCAAAAACTGAGTGACTGTGCAAGAAAGAGGCCAGTGAGGGAGGCCACCAAGACACCTATGATCCTCTGATGGAGCTTCAGTGAGGTTGTAGAGACTGAGCATACCATCACTGCTCCCTGGTTTGTTATCAGTCAAAGCTTTATAGGAGAGTGACAAAGAGAAAACCACCACTGGAAAAAAACTCTCCAATAACCTCCACTAGAATTCACCAGAAGGCATGTGTGACATTCTGAAGTCAACAGGAAGAGGGTTCTTTGTTCTGATAATACCCACAACAAGTTTAGTGGCCTTCAGACGAGACATTATTATTGGCGGACACTAAACACATCACTAACACAGCATCCCCACTGTGAAGCACGGTGGTGGCATCATCATGATGTGGGGATGCTTTAGGCCCTGGAGGGCTTGTTAAGGTTGAAGGTAACATCAGTCTGGAGGGAAATCCTGGAGGACGACCTGATGCAGTCTGTAAGAGAACTGTGACTTCTGAGAGGATTTGGCTTCAAGCGAGACAAAGCGACCCAAAGCTACATAAAAATGGCTGAAGGGCAACAAGGCAAACGCTCTGAGGGGACGACTCAAGGCCAAGACCTTGAGCCCACTGAGAATTTGTGGCTGGACTTGAAAAGAGCTCATGACTCCTGTGCTGCCGGGCAGTTTTACAAAGAAAGACGAGGGCAAATTCCAGGTTTGCAGGACTGATTGAGACGTATTCACACAGGCTCAGTGCTGCAATTGTGGCCAAACATGCATCTTCTAAACAGGGACTTGACAAATACTAAATAATTTACAATCCTTCTATATCTATATGCCTTACTTTGTGTCTCTACTCCTTTGCTGCCATCGTGCCCTCAGTCGAAGCCTCTACTTAATGAACAGACTGTTGTTTATTCAGATATACTAATGAGTGAGCTACAGAACAAACCCGACTGGCAGACGACGCTGAACACTAAAGTCTGACTGTATATAAACAGCGGGTGTAAGTGTTACTGTGTCACAGCTCTGCTCCATCTCTAATCGACGCTCGCTTATCTTCTTTCATTCTATTTTCGTCTCTCTCTCACTTTTCGATACAGATGCACACACATACACACAGCTTGGGTTACCATGGAGACACGGCGGCAAAAAGGTCAACCAAACAAAGCTCTGTGTTTCCTGTCAGTCCCGCGGCTGACGGTGAAGTCAGCGTTTGTTTGTGTTTGTTTACAGCACCGGTGTTGCTAGCACGCCACCACCGCTGGACCGCAGCAGGAACTTCAAGCTGCAACTCATGAAGGAGCCTTTAAATAACTTTTAGCCGGAAGCTCAGGAAGAAGAGATGTGACGGCACAGAGCACATGTGGAGGGGTGACGAATGTAAGGAAAAACCTGAACCCTTAACCCTGCAGTGAGGGCATTTGGGGGCTCTGCTGGGCTGTCGGGTCAGCGTTTGGGTCCAGTTGTCTACTTTTAGGAGGACTCAGAGCACGGTTTGTGAATCATACAGTCATGGAAAAAATGATGAGACCACCCTTCTTGTTCATTTTAATGCCTGGTACCACTACAGGTACATTTGTTTGGACAAATATAATGATAACAACAAAATCAGCTCATAAGAGATTAACTTCAGAGCTGATATCTCGACATGTTCCATGTTTTTCTTGATAATAACCAAAAATAACTTCAGTTTTTACATCAATAGCTGTAGCATTGAGTGCACGGTCATCAAAGACGTTTGGTAGCACCATGTTGGGCTCGTTTTTCTTGATGTAATAAACAGCTGTCTTGGAGATCTTCAGTTTTTTGCTACCTGTCTCTCACTCATACCAATTTCCAGCAGAGCCAAGATGGCTGCCGTTGTGGCTTCACATAATTCTTGTGTTTTATGTGAGAGCTGACAACTTCTGAGTCGGCTTGAATGTAAGCAGGAAACCACTCCAGGCCTTTGCATGTGCAGTTCTGCTTATGACATGAAATGGCCTCTTTTATACCCTACAGTGAACACAATTAAGCTAAAGCATGTCAAATAAGAGATAACGCATGATGGAATCAGCTGCATTTGTTGTCGTGTTCATTGTATTCTTCAGGTGATGCACCTTTAGTGGTACCAGGCATTAAAATGAACAAGAAATTGAAGAAAACAAGGTGCTCTAATATTCGAGCTGAACTGTATCGGCATGTTAGGAAGACACCAAATGAGGGAATATCTGTGGTGTTTATTCTTCTAATAGTTCCAGAAACTTCAAGAATTGTTCTCAAGGAGCCCTGAAGCGTTTCTGGCGTTTCCTGAGACACTTTTCTGTCTTTAATCCGTCACCTGTAGGCACATTACTGAGCTGTTTTAAAGGCTGTAGTTGAGTCTTAAAGTTCTTTGCCTCAGAAACAGCAGAAAAACAACAACAAACAAAACTCGACACAAGCTTCACTTTACTCTGTTTGTCCAGAGCTTTACTGCTGGCCGTGTTTATACGGGCAAATAGGTGACAAATATGTAAACAAATTGAAAAAGTTCAATATCTATAATATATGGAGCTACCATTTCATTTTTTTCCTCCAGTTTTGTAACACTTGTGGACACTATCTACACAATCTACACGCCTCATGTTCATTTAACTGCAAACAAGGTCCCCTGAATGAGGCTCAGGCACCATCAGGACTGACTTTGAAGCCGGTCTCATACCAGTAAGCTGCACTATGAAGCAGCTTCTTTGCACTTACAAAAACCTAAAACCCCAACCAGAGATGACGGGTATGACGACTGTGGTCATCAACGTTCAGCACAGCTCTGAAGAAAAAGCCGTTCTTCAGTGTCTTGATTCTGATTCAGCAGAATATCATAACTATGTAGAGAAGGAGTTCTGTCGCATCTCTTATTGATCTACACATGTGATGAATTATTCACGTGACATATCGCTTTCCGTCACTGTTCTGCTCTTCATCATCACCGACACACTGTAAGAGAAGCATGTGGGACTTGTCTCTCTGTTCCTCGAAGGCATTTTTTTTTACACGAGCTAAACATTTAGCTGTCTGTGTTTACAAGAGCTGGGTGAGAAATTTAACATTAAAACTTTGGCTTCAGGCTGAAACCTGCTGACAAATTGTGTTCGCTGTCGTTCAGCTCGGGCTGAAGTTTCACCACCGGCAGCTCTGCACAGTTTGTGTTTGTGTCATCACGGCGATGATTGTGCCTCTAAAGCGACTCACCGCCGCATCATCCGTCTCCTTCTCTTCCTGTTCCAGTTGGCCGCTTTCCTGCTTTTGCGTCTCGCCGCTCTCCGATTGGCCGTTCTCCTCGGTTTCGTCTTTCGCCTCGGCCTCTGATTGGTCCCTATAATCAGGCTGCTGCATGCATGCATGGGCAAGTTAATGAGGAAAAAAAAAAACAAAAAAACACACAACAAAAAAATAAAAAAGAGAGAATCATAGAGGAGAGAGAGAGAGATGAGGAGGGGGGAGAGGAGGAGAAGTCGTGGGACAAAAATGGAAGGAAATGATAGAAAACAAGACAAACAAACACGAGAATAAGAAAAAACAACCAAAATGGTGTCCGTCCGACATTAAGAAAAAAATAAAAATAATGATTTATAGACCTCACAAGACAAAGAAGAGGATGTAGAGGAAGAAGAGCTTGGTCAGAGAGGAATATGAGAGAGTGGAGAAAAGAAAGAAAAGGAGGATGGAGGGTAGAATGAACGGCTGAGGAGGAGGAGGAGGACATAGAAGAAGAAGAAGAAGAAGTGCAGAGGATGGAGAGAAGGAGGTAGAACGGGAGGTCGAGGAGGGGAGAAAAAGACGTATGGAGGGGGGGAGAGAAGGAGTAAGGCAGTTAGGATGAAAGGTCAGAGAGAAATGGAGCAACAAGGTGAGGAAGAGGAGGGAGGAAGGAACAGGTGATACGAAGCGAGGAGGAGGAAGAGTGGCAGCAAAGGGGAGGAGAGAGGAGGTGGGAGGACGGGTGAGGAGGAGAGGAGGAGGTTCGAGAGGAGGGAAGTCGATTGGTTATGGTGCCCGTGCAGAGAAAGAAGGGATGAAGGGAAGGAGAGAGGAGGAGGTGTTGGGACTCAGAATTGGCCTCTAATGGAGTCCTAATATTTTAGTCACTTGAAATGATCTAGAATTTCATCACAGTTTGCTCTAAAACAGATCAGATCAGAATAGAAGACAGATGTTTTGCTGTTAAGTCAGTGAATCTATTATTAAAACCTCAGACGCTTGTTTGAAAGGCAACTGTAAAAGCGAGAGACAAAATAGCTGATTTTCAACTTTACGATGGTCCCTGAACTAATCACGTGTAGCCTCCAGCTTCATACAGGAAAATCATTTTATTCAACAAATTTAATTTAAAAATTCACCCCCAAAATACGACAGCTTCCAATAAACTGATTCTGTAAATAACAAACCATTTGGAGCTTCATCCAGTTTTTGGCTGCGCTGCAGGCTGTGCTTACACCGAGCAGAAATAGTTAAATATTGATTTGATGTAAAGTCATTTTATTTTCCAGTGTTGGGAACATCTTTGGGTACTTGGACAAATGTACAAGTTAATTCCAGGGATTTTTTCCCAAATTTTGCAAAAGAAAAAAACAAAAAAATCCAACTTCAGTTTTTCCTGGTTTTAAGAATTAAGGCCTTTTCCTTAATTCCTCCTTTTTTCTGAGTTCTCTCTACTTCTAGTCATGGTTGTTCTGTTTCCATAGAGGTGCAGGTAAAAAATAAGTGAGTAAAATAGGAGCAAAAAGTTTCCAGAAACTGCTGGAACTCAGAGGGTTAAGTCTTTAAAGGGTCATTTTTTAAAGAATTTATTTCACCCCTCAAACATTACTAAAGAAAAATGACTCTCATCATAGTGTCTTATTTTGGAGACCTACTCCCAGCAGGTGAAGGTGATAAAAAGATAAGATCTCTCTGTGCTTTTATAATATTTTAGTTCCCACATTGAACCTAAAGCAGAAGCTCAGAGCGAGTCATACGTCACTGACAATCAAGTGCAACCCGAGAACTTCCCAGTGGAGCTTTTCAAATGGAAAATTTGATTCATGATTGGAAATCTTTTTAGAG